AATTTTGCCTGTTGCAGGAGCACAAGGTTAGAGACTATCAATGATGTTTGCTTGAAGATCCCAAAAGATACTATTTCTTTATCCATGCTGCAATTGTCCTTACATTTTAGCATTTTTTTTTGTAAGAGAGACAGCTGACGTACCATGTCATCAGCATTTGCTGCCATGCCAGCATTCTGCATAGCAAGCAGTGCTGCAGGTTGAAGGTTAGCAGCCGGGGCATGGACAGCTGGCAGCTGGGGGAGGGCAAGCGGCAGGGGAGGGCCAGCAGCCAGGGCAGGGCAGCAGCCACCCTGGGTAGAACTGCATCCAAGGGAGGAGCAGTAACCAGGGCAGGAACCGCACTCAAGGCAGGGCGAGGAGCCAAGGCATGGGCAGCTGCCAGGGGAGGGCTCATCACTGGGGCAGGGGAATTCACCAGGCATGGGTCGTCGGCCACGACATCAGCAGCACCATGATTAGCGGCAGCACCCAGGGCAGGTGGGGCTTCAGGAATGGCACCTGCAGTTCCTTTCATCACCTGCAGAAGGCATCAAACAATGAATAAGACCTTTGTCCTTATATAAAAGTTGGAAACACCATACCTTTCATCAGGGATTCCACTTTCTTTATTAATATTTCTTGGAGGTTGACGTTCAGTTGCCTCAGTTGGCGAGCTTCGTTCTCCAACACCAACACTCGCTTCTCTGCACGGTCGTACTTCTCTCGGAGAAGTTCCAACTCACTCTTCTCCGAGTTTGTTGCACTCATTTTTTTTCCTTTCCATTTCCAAGATCTTCATGAGGTCTGGCTTGCTTGCTGAGGTTTGCCTCTCTTTGGTGTGTTTCTGAAATTGACCATATGTTACTCATTTGTTTCACACACACAGATCTGCATTGAACAACATAGCAATATATCTACCTTCTGTGCCTTGGCATTTTCCTTCTCCGTGGTTGAAGAGTCCTCACAATAATCGGAGCTAATCGGAGCTATCTATAACTTTCCGGACACGCAGCCGTCCCTCCTTCAGCTTGGTTTTCAGATTCTCTTCAGAGGCTAAGAATGATGAAATATATCAGCATAAAATAAAGGAGAGCACTTGTAAAAGCTTTGACTGATTATAATAACTAAAGAAAGAGCTGTCAAAACCTTACAGGTAGGGAGGGTTCTTAAGATTCCACAAGTATTCGTTTTTTTTTTCAAATGCTGAATTTATTTGTTTCTCTCAACAACCGTTTATATTAATTTTGACATGATAATTACTTATTTAGAAAGCCAACTGCCAAAACCTTTTGGCTTTGTCTCTCTACCAACATTTAGGTTTCACAAAGTCAAGCTACTCAGTGGTTCTCAAAGGTGGGTCTGTGTAGTATTTGTATATAGCCCATAATGCCGGCACTGAAAAAGAAGCCGATGCCGCGCGTGAAATAAACAGGGCCGGGCACCCGCGCTCGGGGTGCTCGAGACTCAGAGACCATGACCAGCAGCCGGCGGTTGTCATTGCTTCTTTGAGCTTCAACGGCCTTCGTGCCCACGAAGGCATTTTGGGTTTGTGCTAACCTCCGGCATGCAATTGCCAAGACAATCAGCAACCCAGCCAAATACAATAAAGATCAGTGTCCGCGACACACCCGTGGTTGAGAACCACTAGTGCTAATAACCGATCCTATGTTCGCGGGCACAATATTCCGAAATTGGGAAGCGATATGGTTTGTAATTCAGGCGATTAATCTTCGCAATTACAGGAAGTATGTCGTTTAGAGTATCGATGCTGTAATTTGCACGTGAAGCAATACAATATTACACGATTTCAAGCAGGACGTTTGGGTCAGAACCCGCAGGCATCTGCTTGCATGCACCCACCGCGCAGCACGCGCTGCGCGTGCAGGGCGGGAAGATAAAGCCCGCGATAGTGGTACGCGGGCAGCTTTTAAACACTGGAACTTACCACCCAACAGAAGAATACGGGCTTTATAGAAGTCGCTGTTGCCACCATCCCCCCGTCCATTTCACGTAGTACTTCGTTTTGTCATCATAGTCTTTCGGACCACTTGGATGGAAGTCCTTGATGAAAGATGTCGGCACAATCGCTTTTGTTTTATCGTCGACGTAACGTACATAGGCGTAGGTTGTCATCGCGCACCAATTACCGTACGAAGACCGAAGAACCAAAGACTCGAAGTTATCCAAAGCACGGGGATCCAAAGTAACAAAGAAGCAGCAGGAAAGTCCTAAGGCTCGGCTTGGCTTTGGATTGCAATTAACACGGTCCCATATAGAGAGTGAAAAGGAACAAAGATTTCGTCCGTCCTTTAAAACAGAAAGGTTATTAACGTTTATTAACCTTATCTGTTCTTTTGTTAAAAAAAATTAAAAGCAAATTGTTTTTCTACATGCAGTGTTCACCTGCAGGATAACGTTGCCTGCAGACGCTCTCGTCCGGTTGGCAGAACCGAAAGATGCCGGCAGCAGTAAACGCGCTTCTCTAGAGAGCCTAGAAGGCCCAAATTGCAAAAAGCTAAAATAAAAAAAAAAACACCAAAAAACTTTGTCCGCTTTTTTTTTTCGCTACGTGAAAGGGCGACGCATGCGCACTTGTGGCAAATCTGCTTAAGACTCATGGTTTGAGTTGGTCCCTCTCTTTTATCCGGGCTCTCTACGCTGCTGGCTTTATCGATACCGCTGTGGGCTCTACGGTACACTGCCGCGGCTTCAGACTGCGTCGGCAGCGTGGGCAGCTTGCCATTCATATCGCCCTCTGCGGAAGCTGACGTTTGTCGGCTCTCGCCGTCCAGACACGTTTATTGTCTCAAAGGTTGAAAGGTGGTGCCGACGATCTCTTCAACTCTGCTGTCCCATATGGTACGGGCGGTACGGGTGCGGGGAGAGTGTGACATCGGGCCCCGCTGTAATAAAAGCTAGCACCCCCTGCTCAGAATGCGAGTTAGTGGGATTTCTAAGTCCCCAACAACGTTTTCGAACCGGTCTTTCTAAGAATGTATTGCACAGGAGAAAGACTAAATGCATTAAATTCGAAATAAGGTGAACTGGGCCAGTTGGGTGACGTTATACATAATAGGGAAAACAGCTCAGAAAACGCGGACTACGAAGAACAAACACGCGTGTCCTGTCGTGTTTGCTCTTCTACGTAGTCCGCAAATTCTTAATTGTTTTCTCTATCCTGTATTAAACTTGAAACTCAATAAGAATGCGAGAATTAACGAAAACGCATCGCGCGCCGTCGTGGAAATTAGTATATATATGCTCGGGTGCCCAGATTTTCTTTTATCTGCAGCTCATTTCTAATTTGTTAAAGGCATTCTCAAAATGGCAGAACAAATTTGCACGACGAGACAGGCGCTGTCAGATGTACGCGTCAGAAAATCGTCGGATCCGACAGCGTGGGATTTTGACAGGTTATAGACGCTTTCAGGCGCGCGCCAGATTGAGCCGCCATAGCCGACCTTCCTTTGTCTTACTGAGATGCCGATCCACTAAAGCGAGTGTTGACGAGTCTCCACAGGGGCCCATGGTGGGGAGAAGGACACATAACATTTAAAATTGCAATAACCTGTTCTGCTGTGGTAATGATGAAGTGGAACGAACTAATCAGGGGGAACAAAAACTGAAGGTCGGTTATGGCGGCGCCCTTGCACAGCTGCCTGAAAGCGTCTATATCTTTCTCACCGTACGCTTGATCCCAAAGCTTTATTTAGACCAATGCATGTTACAGTGCGGCCACTTTATTTACTTATTTATTTAGACTAGAAAATCAACATTGGCGCCATCGCGAATCAGTGTGTAATGAACCCCCACATCGGGCGGGTTAGCTTTCATCAAGTTATATTTTTCTAACCAGATGTGGTCCGGCCGATGTAGCATAACTGCGAGCCTCCTTGCATATTAAGGCATTTTGAAGCCGCGTTTAGAGTGCCTCAAAATCAGCAGGACCGACTGCGTGCCTCGATCCCGCTCGTGCAGTCGTGGTTCTGTTCGCTCGTCAGGACAAGACAGGTATACGCATGACACTCGTACGCGCACGAGCAGACGCGTGTGCGGGTCTCAAAGGCAGTTCAACGATCGTGGACAAGGAAAACTACTTAGAAGGCTCCAACGGCGTTGACGAAATGCTAGTAGTACGCTAGCTCCTGCCAGACCACGTGGTTTCACACAATTTGCTGCATAGTTCACCTGAGACTGCAGCCAAAGCGCGAGCTCCTGGCTTTAAGGCATGCATTTCTAGCGCTCGTTCTGTGGAAGAACGTTTCAAAGCAGCGACCTCGAGCTCTGCTGCGCTTCCGACGTTGATGTCGGAAACACAGATGTCTTTTTCTCTGTCTCTGGCTAATTTCGCATTGGTTCTGGTAACTAAATAATAACATCCACGCATGTGGTTTGTTTAATTTGCTCTCAAGAGAGGCGCGCATCAGTGAACCAGTAGCCAGAGAAGGCCGAAGGTTCTAGCCGGTGTTACCCCAGAACGTTTTAAAAAAGAGAAAAAAGACAACGGAACACCGCTAACTAGGCCTGACGACCAGAAGTGCAAGGGCAGCAGACATCACCAAAAGCTGCATTTTAGCTAGTGGAGTAACTCTAAGTTAGAGTTGGTTACTTCGACACGTGACAACTTAGCTAGAACCACGCTCAGTGCAGCTAGGTTTTTTTTAAATTTTTTTTCTTTTTCTACTTTTTCTGACCGCCAAGGGTGGCGAGCTTTAGCAGAGTGAGATCTTGTTAGATTTTGGGAACACGGTCAGTGGGCGGGTGCTTTGTTTTGGCTACAGTGTAGTTTTGGCACTTTGTGTAAGCGGCTCTCGTGCCATGCCCGCAGCTGCGTGACTGAATGTGACACTCTTTTCCGTTAACGCGCGCTGTTTTCCTCTGAAACTTTATGAAGATGAGCTTGTCCTAGTGAACTGGTTTTGTCTATGGAGGGTTCGACAACACAGCTTTCCCCATCTGCTGCGTATCCACAGCGTCCAAAACGATCCAGAAAACGAGGCCCTTTTAAACAGTATTTGCATCCGGGGTCTCAAACTCCGATCCCGAAATCGACGAGATACGCCCAGAGAGAAGACGCTGCACATGGGAACCACGTAAGTCTCCAGCTGTCAAATCAAGCTACGATTGACTGTTCGCTGGTTCGGCCGGTTAAATGCAGATATTCAGGCTGGGTTTGGATCAATTTTTATGCTCTATATTCTTTAAATATTATTGTGTCCGGCCTAGGGTTCACGATAGCGGCGAAAAATCGGCCCAAGTTTGCACAGCCTGTAAAAACGTACCGGGGACCCGCGCACTTCTAAAAAAAAAATATATTGTTGAAAGTGTTGAACAATTCACGATAATTAAATTTCTGGTTCGCGTGACCCTAAATCCCTAGATGACTTCAGTCAAGAGGGGCTGCAAAACCCGTCATTTTCAGTAGATATATTTTATCTGATGACCCTAAAATATCTTACATTGTTCATCAAGTTTAGAAGTTCCTTTATCTTCAAGCTTTTGTACTTAGTGTGAGCCTTGATCGTACTAAGCCATCTACACTCCACCATGAAAATCGGATGCTAACCGTTCCAGGGTGATGCAGCAGCTGCATGTTTGGCCGCAGATGCCGACTTGTCTCACAAAGATGGAAAGTCAGCCGATGCTTCCTCTTTGGTGACTATATCTCATTATTTTGAATATATCACCCTAAAGAACAAAACTCTACTTGGGCTGTTACCGATTCATATTTATACTTATTTCTGCAGGAGCAAAATGTTGCAGAAGATCTGGCCAGAGAAGACCTGCCTTGGGAAGTCGGAGGAGTTCCTTCCCCTTGGGCAGTAAGCAATATTTTCGTAGTATGAAAATAGTCATTTTACAAACGAAGGACTTGTTGTTATACTTATCCTTTTTGAAAGTTAATACAGGAACCTGGTATGTCTTCGGACGACCTTGGTAGCAGGGCTGGCTGCTCTCGTGATTCAAGAGAACGACCTTGCACGTCTCCCATGGTAAATATATTCCCTTATTTTTGCAACGGGCATGCACTCATCTTAAAACTGAATGAAAAATCCTACCTTGATTGTATTCTCTGCATGATGTGAAATACGCCAAAAAAATGAGGACAAAGACGAGAGGCACACAGGACAGGGCTCTGTCCCTGTCCTGCATGTTTTTCTTTTCTGTCCTCGTTTTTTTAGCGTATTTCCCATCATGTATCAGAACCAACTTGCCCAACTCGCAATTTTAATAGAGCGTACTTTTTTGTTTTTTCTGTGCTCAAGCATTTTGAACTTCGTCGCAGAACCCTCTGCCTACATTCATCTGTGCTAGATGTGTGCATCTATATTTTTGGACGGAAGCTATGTGAGACCATGCAACCCCCAGTTTGCGCACTTCTGTCCTAGAGCACGGGCTAAGTGTGACTCCCTGTCTGCTATCGAAGTTCTCTATATGAACTCATTTAGCACAGTCATTTCCTGACGAAAATCTTTGATATCTTGGAAAGGAATGATACGCATATATTTGTCTGGTTCTTTTCTATTGTATGAACCTCCAACAACCTAACGCGATTTATTACAGTTTGTGAGGGAAAGCATTACAAAAATATTGAAATGCTTATCAATTTGGTGAGCTTATCTTAACCTATCCAGAACACTTGAAGTTTTATTGCTCTCCTAAAACGTTTTAAACACCCAGGTGATTGGCCCTAAATCTTGGTTTGCACAAATATTACGTCACTAACCTTTGCTATGGACCTTAGTAGAAATAGGTATATAAAGACCATTAAAGAATTTACATGTTGCATGGATGATTTAGCTAAAAAGAATGTGAAGGTAATAATTAGGTAAGCAACAAGTGATTTTTTAGTGCTGTCCTTCGTTTGATCTCTATTCCTTAAGGAACTCCGAATGTGGTGTGCTCTTTACATGCTTCTCCTACTTAAGTTTCAGAATTTAATTTTTCAATGCATATAGTAGTGATATGCAGTTTGCTAGCTGAGAAAGCACGCTGTGTTCTTGCACTGCACAGATAAATTAAACACCAACCAAAGCCCGGACTCCGCCCAAACATAGGTTTTGCAGTTTGGGATGAGAAGCCAAGGTTACAGAGCTTACAATTACGGAGGGGAAATTTTAGAGGCTTAAAGCTAAGCTGGGTTATGAGAGAGTGCTATCCAACAACTAACGGAATTCGGGAAAATATGCTGGCCTATCGATGAACATTTCTGGTCAGTCAACTTGTCTCCAAAACTTTCAGGAACATGACTCCTTCGCTGGAGATGACCTCTCAGATGACGCAAGATCTCTCTCATCCTCGGTAGGCAACCTTCATCAAGCGCTCGTGGTACTCAGTGCACGTGGAAGGAGAACAGAGCTGTAGAGCAGTAATTATATAATTTTAAAGGACATGCTCAATACTACATGGGGGACTTTCTAACTGGTATCAGCATCTATATTTTTACCACCATGTTCTTAAAATTGCCATTGATTAATTCCAGACTTCGTCAGAAGAAGACATCTCAGATGGAAGTTCAGCGGCCACCGATTCGATTGCAACTCAGCCTGCAAGATCATTTGTCAAGCTTTTCGAAGAGATTGTATCTGAACGCCTTGTGTCTAAAAGTGACATTTTAGTAATGCTGCTAAAGTATGTTGCTTGTAACAACCATTCATTTACCGCTCTGACAAATCTAGTCAAGATGGTGAATAGTTTTTTTTTTCTCGACCTATTCTTCCAGAATCACGTTATTTTCTTGGTAAGATGTTTGGTGATAATAGTGCAACCTTTCACTTTTATTGCCCTCACTGTTTTTACTACATTGGAAAACTGGATGGCTGCTGCAGTTCTTTCCAGTGCCTGCATTGTAGTCAAGAATGCAAAATGTCGAATGTCTCTGAGCCACCTTTTTTATTACCTTTGAGATTATGTCACAGTTACAGAGCATCCTGATAGATTCAGACTTCTTAGACTTAACAGAACCTCTGCAGGATGTCCACTCAATGTGTGACATCACAGATGGGAGCAAGTATCGTGCATTTGTTGACGAGACTGCAGAGGCTGGGCATAGGATTAGTCTCACCTTAAACACGGATGGTGCCCCAGTTTTTAAATCCTCATCAACTTCAATTTGGCCCATCCAGCTGTCAGTGAATGAACTTTCTCCCAAGGATCGTGTTGTTAAACTTGTGCTAGCGGCCCTCTGGTTTGGGAAATCCAAGCCCCGAATGGACATTTTCCAGAAGGCCTTTGTGGACATTATGCAGAAGCTTTCGATGGAAGGATTACCCCTGAGCTTCAAAGGGAAAACTGAAACCTTCAGAGCTTTCTGCATATGCTCAGCAGTTGAATCTGTGGCTAGAGCCCCGATGCAAGGGATTATGCAATTTAATGGTTATTACGGCTGTAACTGGTGTTTGCACCCTGGCACGCGGGTAGGAAGGGCTCTGAAATACCCTGTCTAAGCAGTCGATTCTGTTGAACATACTGACGAACAAATGTACAACGACATGCAAGAGGCTCTTGAAACTGGGACTGTAGTGCGCGGAGTGAAAACTGTTTCTCCTCTTATTAACCTGGAGCACTTCAGCATAGTCTGGGGCTTTGTCCCAGACTACATGCATTGTGTCTTACTGGGTGTAGCGAGGGAGTTCCTGGAGCATTGGCTTGAGTGCTGTGACAGAGAGTTTTATCTTGGGCGAGAGACTGATGTTTTAGATAGTAGGCTTTTGGCTATAAAGCCTCCAAGAGACGTGAGGAGGATGCCGAGATCGTTCAGAGAGAAAAAATTTTGGAAAGCCAATGAACTTGAGAATTGTGTCCTGTTTTACAGTGGTCCTGTTATCTCTGGAGTTATGCCAATGAGGTATGTTGCTCACTGGGCTCTCTTAGTGGAGGCTCTGCACCTGATGCTACAGGACCGTATCTCTTTTGCAGACATCAACCTTTCCGATCTCCTGATGCTGGAGTTTGTTGTTAAGACTCAGCACCTCTATGGAGAAGAGAGTATGACTTATAACGTCCATCAGATGCAACATATAGTAAAGAGCGTTCGTCTCTGGGGTCCCTTGTGGGCACATTCTGCCTTCTCTTTTGAAGAAGGTAATGGCGAAATGAAATTAAGCATTAAGGCTGCCAAGGGGATTCCCCATCACATTTGCAGGATGCTGGCGATCGAGACCGTAGTTTCTGAGTTGAAGGTACTTGTGAGAAGTGCTGCTGTGTCCAGTTACTGCTCTTCTCTTGACTCACACTCGACACAAAAATCTGTTGGTCCTTGCAAAGGAGTGCGTTTGCTGGGAAAAGGGTGTCCGTTCAAGGACCCTGGGGGATCCTGCTTGGTCTTCAAGCTTTGTCGCCTCAAGCTTTTGAGTACTAGCGGATGGTGAAGGGAGGAACTGTATTCACAATTGTTGCTTATGTTGGCAAGAAGAAAAGTGACAGCTCAGTCGTAAAGTTCACTAATTGTATTATTGGGGTAATTGAGAAGATTGTTTTAGACAAGAATTCAAGCTTTTTGGTTCTGAGGCTGTTGGAATGTGTACCTTTTTATTCCAAGTCAAAGTCGACTTTGTTTAAAGTTCAGAGGTGTTGGCAGCACTTTCGGCTCGTAAAATGTTTGGAAATTCTCAGCCCTGCAGTTTTCATGGCCACTGATGATACCTACCTTGCTCCAGTGCCCAGTGCTCTTACATTCTAAGCTGTTTGTCAGCACTGTTTGATTTTCGGTTTTGTTAAAAAGTTTCTTGCTTCAAGTGATAAATTTCCTATGTTCAAACAGAAGAATTATCTGCACAAATGGATGGACAGTTATTGTTTCTTTCTTCCATCTTCAGAAAGTTGTCTTTTTTTTTTTTAAAGTGGCACTAAGGCAATTTCTGACATCAACTTTTAAAGCGATAGCTTTACGGGCCACACTTTGCAGAAATTTCGACCTCGTCTCCAGTTTTTGCTACTCTTCATGATTATCTCGAAATTTTGAGTGGGTGCTTGCTCAATACTTTCCAGTAATTTCAGTTTCAGCTCAAGTGACTCAAGTACTCGCTGAAAGTCATTTCTACAGATCTGCCTCGCTCACCCTGCCTCATTGCCTTCGCCATCTCAGTCAAGTGTCCAAAAGGCTTGTATATCACAAACTAACCGCCGAATTTACAAACTTCACTCCGACTGAGGCGCCCCTCAATTTCCTCAAGGAAGGCGCGAGGACAGGCGCTGGCCAATCGCGACGACGGACAGGCGGCCTAGGCTGCTTATCCGTCATCGCGATTGGCCAGCGCCAACCCTCGCGGCTTTTTTGAGGAAGTGGAGGGGTGCCTCAATTGGAGTGAGGTTTGTGAATTTGGTGGTACAGCTTTACTTTTCCAAAAATCAAAGTCAAATTTGGGGGTTTCGCGGGCCAAACCAATGCACTGAGGATTAGTTTGGACCACCTGGGGATCTTTTGATGAGCAACCGAAAGCTCAGCTTTCTCTGCAATAAGTCTTTCTCAGATTGCGGGCACCTCGGCCAGGGTTCAAACTTGCCACCTGGAGATCCTTAGGACGGCGCTCTCGCATCGGAGCCCCCCTCCCCGTGTGCCTCGATCCTTCCATTGTTTATAAACAAAATATCAAAGCATACAGGTTTATACATCCTGGAACTGTTTCATTCTATATTAAATATGCATATCACTAATTTTTCTTTTACTGTTAACCTTTCCTCCAGAAATGCTTTTTGTTATCAATAAAGCAGGAGCCTCTTCCACCTTTGATTACAAAGGGCGCACCTAAATTTTTATTTTAATTATGGTGACCTTGGTTTAGATGAGTAATTTGGCCAGGGGATCACTACCACTCAACTAAGGCTTTGGCCTAACACGTGCCATGTATTATTAACCAAGCATGCATAAGTGAAAAAATAAATTTCTGGGCTGTTTAGTTTATAAAACTTTTTATACTGCTTTTTGTGCTAATCGTCGGCAAGATTTTCATACGAATCAACTGTCCATCTTCTACTTCTCTGCGTGGCTTACTAGAAAGAACTGCTCATGGCCTGTATTTTTTTTAAATCAGCTTTTCTACAAATGTAGACTGCCTTGATTTGTTTTCTTGTGAATGAAACACAGACAGTGTATAAGAAACTTCCGATTATTGTGTTATGCGCTGTGATAACAATCATAAAATGCTTGAGGATATGTTGCTTAAACGTGCCAATGTACATATGTTTGCCATGGATATTTATTTGCATCCATTAGTGAATAAGATCTAATATGAGTTTATGGGTGGAAAGAAATGAATATCTAGCTTGTGACTTTGTGTACCTTGTCTGTATAAAAATGAATGTGAAAAACCGCGATGCGAGTTTTTTTTTTTTAAGAATGTGAGGGCTTGCCCTGCTGTAAAGTGACAAACATCCCGACAAGCCAAAAATATTCTTGCGGAATCTGGCAACAGTCTAAACATAATAATGTGATTTTTGAATTCATTTACTTTGGAATAAACCAATACTAAAGAGAAAATGGCAAGATCTTCTGTATAGATGATTGCACACTATATTCCAGGGGTCTCAAACACACAGCCCGCGACTTGCTGCGACGCTGCCCGCAGGCAACCGGCTACGAGTCCCGGTTCCTATGCCTCGAGTGCTAAAAATAGCGTGAGCCCTAGTAATCTCATCTCGTCAATTAATTTTTGCTTAAAAGTAGCTCTGCTGTTTTAAGATATTCACATAGTTTATACTTGTCTGTGTACATTTGCTGGTTGTTTCGCTTTCTTTTTTTTTTCTTTTTTTTTGCTTCCAAGCTTTTTGTAATGTACAACAATTCTGCTACTAGGCTGCAAGCGCGAGCTATTTGTTGGATGCATAACTCTAGTGCTCAAACTCACAATCAGTAAGAGCTATACTGCCAAAGATAAAGCTATGAGCTCAGAATTCACGCCTTCAAAAAAAAATTATTACCATTAAGAGAGAAGTATTTGTTCAGTGCTGCGTTAAAAATGGTCAGGAAAGCAAAAACTCAAATAACTGAGCTTGGTTAATTCACGAGTGAATTGAGCAATGAAAACGACAGTGCACTTGCTCTCTTGTTCTATTAAAAATGCCAGCACACTGGCGGGCAGTGTCATTTTAATTCTTGTTATCACATCAGGTCAAGGTCCAAAGTAGTCATATAAAATAAATAAAATCTTAATATGTTACTGGAAAAATTGTGAGTTTACAAAAAGCATAGAGCACTAGGTCTCTTTTTAAAATCTCTTGACCACTCTTCCCACCCCCCTTACGGTTTCCCTCGAGGTTTCCGGTGTGGCTGTCCGTCCCCCACACTCAAATGAGTTTGAGACAACTGCTATATTCACTATGTTCATGAAGTACGCAGCCATCAGTCGCACACACAACATCTTGAACCCAATCACAGTGATCAATTGGGTGACCCAGCAACAATTGGAAACATTGAAGCCAACTGAGCGAAATTCAATGAGATATGTTGCGCTACAGCGACAGCATGGGACTAGTCCCATACGCCGGTATGCCTGTTGGGAAGTGCAGCGAGTCTTCCGGTGAAGACTCCAGAAGTCAACCACCCCGTCATTGTTGGCAGAAGGGCCGGCCCGTGTCAGTCGTTTGCAAAGCGACGTAGATGGCGTTTTTCGCGGCCTCGGAGATGCAGGAGCGAGCCGACGTTAAAAAAGATACGTTTGAACTACGAGTGTCAGCAAGAGCCACGTAAATACCTGTTTACACTCGGAGCGGACGCGCGCGCTTGATGGAAGTCTTGTATTCGCGCTGTTTGTAAGCGCTTCGGGACCGTTCTTTTACGATTGCAACTCGATACTGACGCGACAATCGGCAAAAAAAGGTTGGACCGGGGTTGTACGTATACCTCCCACGAACTGTTATAGCTCGACAGTGACGTGCAGTCTGTCAGAATAAAAATGGCATACCAATAACAAAGTGTACATACCGTGTTACGAAGGTAATCCATACGGCGTTTATTTCAGCTCTCTATCACACAAAACAAGGAGATAGAATCGACGAGAGTCCCTTTTCGACGAGTGTTCGTCAACACTGCCTCGGAAAACAAGGGGAAGAGATTGACCTCACCTCTTAATCTAGAATTGAGGTCAGTGATCAAACTATAATACGGGAAGGGTCCCCAAGGGTCACGCGGGCATATTCCATTTAGCACGCCAGCCGATCGTAGGCAGACGGTCTTGCGACGAAGCAACGCAGCGCCGAGTCGGAATGCCTGCTAGGCCTATACGCTTCGTCGGAGTCGGTGGATCCACCGTTCTTGTTCGTCGTGGTCTGTTTTAAGTACTGTTTTCTCGCTGCTTGAAGTCGGCACGCGCGGGAAGAACACATAGAAAAATAAACGTTCAGTCAGTCAGAGTTTTGAGAGGAAGGAAAACAAAGAAAATAAACGTTCGTCGCTGGCCGCCACCCAAGTAACTGTCGGCCCTGCCCTACTGCGCACGCGCAGTAGTTGCTTCGTTTACCACACGATAGATGGCGCCTGGCTCTCAGCATTATCAAATTTGGCAATTTTCGCCACACATCTCTAATTATGCTACAAAATGTGGATCTGAATATTATTTAACAAAACTTTTAGGAAACATTCGCCGGCTATTTATTGTTTACGATCGCGGTGCTGGTGAGGTAGGCTCTTACCCAATAGGCGACCTGGATTTGGCTGACGTGCTCCATTTCCGCGGATGCATCGTAGTGAACAGGCGAAGGAAGGAAGGCGCAAAAGAGTCCAGTTTTCTTTTAAACGTTCTATAGCAAATAATTTTTTTTGGCTCCCTATTTTTGTGTTTTTGTGTTTCTTTTCACACCTTTTACGACGTGCGGTGGATGAAACTCGATTTTAAAATCATTTCATGGTCCCTTTAATGATCCCAATCGGGTAACCAATTGGAAACATGTAAGAGTGACCAATTAGGTAACCCAGTGCCAACTGAATTTTGTTGGCCCCAATTGGGGTAACCAATTGGAAGCATGAAACACAATTAGAGTGACTAATTAGGTGACCCAGTGCCAATTGAATTTCATTGGTCCTAATTAGGGTAACCAATTGGAAACATTGCAACCAATTAGGATGACCAATTGGGTTACCTAGAACCAATTAGATTTCATTGATTCTAATTGTTTCCAATTGGATATCCTAATTCGACCCAATGGTTATTTTTAACCGGGCCAGTCAAGGCAGCCAAGGCTATGCGCTTGCGCTGGCACAGCCTTCACAGTTAGTCCATGCTAAGGTGGGGGGGATGAGTGGCCGAGTGGGCTGGCGCACACTATCTCGGAGCACGTAGAGCGAAAGCTCGCGCTGAAGAACCCAGGGATCCTGGGTTCAATTCCCACGTGGCCCTGCCCGTTTGATCTGGATGAGCATCGTACCGGTATGCGGCTGTGCACCACTACTGCGTGGTGCACGTTAAAGACCCCAGGCTAGTGGTTGTACTACAGTGGCTAAATTTCTCATCTACAGCTGAGAGACAAGTCGCGTCTTGAGGCAGAGTAAATTCTAGGCTGTATAAGCATACACACACCCAATGTTTTCCCATGCTAAAAACCTAAGGTAAGACGAGGCGTAGTCAGCGTTGGTGTTGTGTTTTCTCCTCTCTCTGTCCTTGTCCTAGTCGCGCTGTATTTCATTAATGGGGCTTATAGCGGAATGGGTCCGTCCTAGAACAATAATTACTGGTTGTTGGACTGCATATTGGGAGCTAGCAGGTGATACTCGCTTTAGGAACCTCACTGGTAACCACTGTTTGCACTTCGTTGACCCGAAAACTGAAAGCACACACCAACGCGGTGGAGGGCACTTAGCGGCATGCGAAGCGTTCTCTCCCAACTGGACGGCGTGAAAAGCACCATTTCTTTGGTTACCTCGCGAAATTCATGTTCTGGAGGAAAAAGAAGGCGCGCGGAAAAACTGATAGATTTGATTCGTTTGTCAACGCGGTCCACACACTGAACAGCCTCAATGCAAACAGGAATTTTCCCTGCAGTGCAGATGAGGACAAATTTGACGACTCCGTTAACTGCGAGTGATCCGTGAGCCGAGCCCGTCGCCCCGGCGCTTGCTTGCACAAAGATGACTTTTGCGCCCACCTCTCGTCAAGCGCTTGTCTCGTCAGTTAAGTTCTGTTACCTACAAAAACTGCCCTTTTTTAGGGCCTCCGCAATTTGCTGACGAACCGTTGTGCTCGTGACGCCCTCTCCCGAGTCTTGGGAGGGAGGATACGACGTTATCACAAAGCTTATCAAAGGTGTCTGCTTCTAAGTGCGCGTAAAATCGGACATCTCACTTTCGTCCTTAGCGAAATAACAATACGTAGGGTTACTTTGAAAGGAAATTAGTACATTTGTTGCAGTCGTTCAGCAATGCATTCGGTTCCCGATTCGCGCCGTCGCAGTTGGCCTGTTCGCCGTCATTGTCGTCGACCGTCATCACCGCCAACGCTATGGCTCGTCAAGCGTTGGCTACTTGCCGCGCTGACTTTTCAAGACGATATTCTGTCAGGGGCGCGTCTGGAATTGTCTATTATCATTCGGTGAGCATAGCAGACGTAATTTTTCGTGCATAAGGAAATGGCGGCCTGGCGAGGTTGGGTCCGTGCTTCGGCTCATTCGCTGTGTCTTTGAATGGGTCGGACATGAAAGAAAAAAAGAGTTCGAAATAAGGACTTTGCGCAAAATGGCTGATTTTCTTTAGCGCTTATTACTCTGACAAACGTAACGCAAAGAGCGTTATTTTTTTCATTTTTGGCTATCCGGTGGTCGGTGTTTTCCCTGGAAAAAAAGACTAAAATATCAAACAGCTGCCGGGACTTGCAATCTTAGGGTCCTGGCTTCGATTTCTCCCGGGAACATTTAAACTTTTGTTTTTTCTTCTCGGTTTATTGGCTTACTACTTTCCCGCGCATGCTCAATTGTTTTGTGTTACAGAGACGAATTTTATCCGGGGGTGCTGTCAAAAAAAGCTGTTGCTTTTAAAAGGAAACTCCTACTGAAAAGGGACACGAACGTTCTCTCCGGGCTGAAAACGAACACGTAGCAAGCGCAGAGCGAAATGAGAGAGCGATTGGCCGGTTGGTAGGCTCGCGAGTGCTCGTGATTGCCGTGATCGATGAAAGGGAAAGAGAGAAATTAAACGGCACTACCGGTCTGGACTCTGAAGTTATCCAAAAAAGCAATTTCACCATTTACGTCATTGATTCAGGCGGGGATATAAAAACTAAGTTTCTGAATTTTTATTGTTCTCTGCAAATACGCCTTTCACGAACCCTAAGATAACGCCTACATTCTGAGTCCGGTATCGGCTATGTTGGCGTAGAAAAATGCCCATTTTCTAACGGTAAAAAGTGGCGTTACATGTTACGCCAATATTGGCGTTACAAACGCCACGCCTATATTGGCGTGACTTATGTAGCGATAGGCATTACACGCTGTAAAAGAAATTGACCCGCTTTTACGAAGAAATATTTTGGAAACATGTTACCAGATAATGTTTCCGTGATCTGATTCACGGAAAAAAACCTCAGAATTACACTCGCGGAAGACTGCTCTGTGAACTAAGCTACGGAGAGACCCTCTAGCAGCAGGTTCTCAGAGTTTTTTTCCCGACACTTGGTTCACAAAGAAATCTTCTCGCAACATACTCAGACTTTCTCCATCACTAGTGCATTGTTTCGTGTGTGGTGCACGCGTCATGCCATCGTTTGGTTTCATGGGAATAATGCGAGAATAAATATCAGAAAGCGAATAATGATCGTGAGGACATCTAATAAAGATCTCATGAAGTTTGTTCTTTAAAGTACCTGGTGCTGTTTTCTGGTTATCCTGCAAACTTGGACTAATACTCTTGTCTGAAAAAAAAATGATTAGTAAAATTACAATGTCAAGCTTTACTTAAATCAAAAAAAGTGTTATTTACAAATTATGAGCGCCCCAAAGCTTTCAAGAAAAAGTCATTGAAGAAGCCTGAGGTGGCACTTCGAAACCTTCTAAAACACGATACATTTGGGTCTGCGCTTGAACGTATTTGTTAAAGATAGCAGGGCTTATAATTGCTGATTGATCTACGTTTATAGTATGCATGCGCAAAAATGCACTTAGGAACGTACATGCATTATAAACAGTAGTCTATTTTGTTGGGCGGCACATCTGTACTTTCCACGTTTTTGTAGTTGCTTGAGTGCCTCTCATGCCTATAATGTACTTTGAATGAGACAGCTTTCCTCACTGTACATCACATAATGGGAATATGGCACACATTTTCAACATCTTACGTCGTCTCCAAAGAGCAAATATTCTAAAATGTGCAGATGAATGATTCGTTCGGAGCGAGAGAGTTCGTGCATCAAACTATTTCAAAGATATAATCACACGCTATTCTTCTCATCAACACCTCAAATCCGCTCTCAAACACACTGGCCGGGACAGTAACTTAAATGCTGGCTCCATCTACCCATTCGCCCAAGAATCTTTCAACCTCGTTAAAAGATTTTTTTTTCTCCATCAAGTATAAAGAAACCTCTTCCTGACATCCGCGTTTGTCTTTGCGCTTAAAGGAGCTGTGCAACGATATTCAATTGGAATGTTTTTCTCTCTACACGAGCTTACTGGCACACCTGGGACTGAAGGATACTCACACGCAACGCCATTGGCCAAGAAACTTCTTTGTTACGGTGTAATTTCAAGGACAAAAGCGATCATTTTCATTCAATCTCTCCTTTGCAAAATTTGATGACGTAACTCGGGGATCGCAGTACACCCAAGTGACGATATTTGAATGCGGTTCATAGATTGGACCCGAGCATTGCGTGGGCACTCGACTTGGGCTCGTGACAATTGCTAGCTCGAGAAGCATTCGGGTTGTGACCCGTGTTCAATCGCTGCAACGACGACAACAGCCGAGCCATAACAATGTCTGGAACTGAGCGCGTGTCCTGCGCTTTGCCAACCCCAGCGCGTGGCTATGATCAACACTGGCGGCATATAATCTGCTCCAGATCACGTGGCCGCTTGTTCTGGCTGCGAGTTGAGGGGGTGAACGCTGCTCGTTTTTCTTAAATTTTTTTCTGGGACTTCTATTGCGTGGGGTGAAAAACGAATGCGTGTTTCATAGGTCATTAACGTTAGGGATCCGTTTTAAGGGGTATTTGTGCACAGTACAAAAATTGTTGCCCAGCTCCTTTAAGGGTCTTTTCAGTCTCAACACGCATTGTATTACTTTCACTATGTGATATGGTACTTTCCTGTCCGTTCGACGGCTGCAAGGCTGGTCCTTGCATGTAATATAAGGACTGGCCTTGCAGCTGGAAGATGCACATAAAATTAAAGTGCGATAAAAAACGCGCATAAAAATGGATTTTGTAAGATAAACATGCTCAGGCAAAAAAATGTTGTGCGCCACTTAATCTGTCAGTTGTATCACAAAGTGCAGTTTGTTAAAATAACCCACTATTTGCGCCGCGAGTCGCATTTTAACTTCAACCATAGCCTCATCTATGCGGAGGGCAAGTTCGTCTGCTTCTTGCGCAGGGGGTAGCGGTGACGTCAGAACGCCGAGCCCTGATTGGCTGATCGCGACCTCCTATCTGAGCGTCGTCTGCCCCTTTGCAACGTCGTCTGCGCCTGTCTTACCTTTCGTGCGACTTTCGGAAGTGCAGAGGCCAGATTCACGAAACGATCTTACGCCAAAAATGTGCGTAAGACAAAACTTAAGAACACATTTGTATTTACGAAACGAAATTTTTGTAAGTTTCGCGCAGGTTCCGACGAAATCCTACGACAGCTCCGAAGCTGTCTTACGCACTTCTTACGATCAAATCAGCATGGCCGACAGCGTCGCGGTCGCGACGACGCACAGACGTTTCAAATCAAATCAAATCAAATCAAATCAAGTTTTATTTGTTGCCACATCTCGTTACATGACAACAGGGGACTTGGGAGAAAAAGCTGCTGGGTAGCAGCTTGACGAAGGTCCCAGCCCCCGTGCAGTTCAGAACAGCAAAAAGGTAAATAGAAAGAAAGAACACACAAAAAAACAACTAAATATTACATAAATGTAGACACATCTTGTACAAATGTTTTATGTAATAAGCACTTTAGAAAAAAAAAGAAGAGAAAAAAAAACACGATACCCGGCAATAAACCACAAGAGCGGTCAGCAAATAACCAAAGAAAGCAAACAGGATAAAAACAACGCCAGTATTCAAAAAGTCATAGAGAAAAAACCAAATTTCCTAACCCTTTATGTGAAAGTGCCTCTAAATTTATACTATTTTTGTACAGAGTGTTTAGTATGGTGGACAAATTAAAATGAAGCGTCTGATCAAGGTAGTTTGTGCGGGATGGACGGATTACCCAGGGCTGATTTTGCCTAAGGTCGCGCAGGATGAGGCGATGTTTTAGGTTAGCTAAGTGAATGTAATGAACGTTGTTTTGCTGAACAGCCCTACGATGCATTGTTAAAAGTTTAAACGTATATATTTGCTGAATTGTTTTTACTTTTAGGGCCTTAAATAATGATGCAGTAGGATGGAGAGAGGGAACAGAAGATATTGCACGTACATCCCTTTTTTGTAAAAGGTGAAACTTGTTTTGGTTGTGGTGCCCCAAATAAGGTTGCAGTAATTTAAATGGGAACAAACGAACGATTTATAAATAGTTAATTTAATATGAGTAGAAAGTATTGTTTTATACTTTGTTATTAAGCCAACGCTCTGGGATAGCTTTGCTTGGACATAATCGATGTGAGCATTCCAACTCATGTCTTGTGGAAACAACAACCCAGTATTTTAATACAGTTTACAAATTCAATTTGTTCATCACTGATTTTAAGACAAAGTGGATCGTTTATACTTTTATTTCTAGGTTTAAACAAAATAGCCTTGGTCTTGCTACAATTTAACTTTAATTTTTGTTTAGTGTCCAGGCAGTAATTTGTTCTAACACCTCTTGCATTGCGGAAATGGAAGTGCGGATATGGTCACGGGAAGAAAAAGTGCTGGTATCGTCCGCGTAAATTGCCAGTTTTACATCAGTGTTTTGAGCCACGTTTGCGATGTCGTTGATGTACAAAATGAATAACAATGGGCCTAAGATGCTGCCCTGGGGAACTCCGTAGCCTATCTGAATGAAAATTTGGAAAAGCCACGTACTGATTTCTATTTAATAAGTAGGTTTCAAAATATCATGCGCTATGCCTCTTATTCCATAAAATGGTAATTTTGAAAGTAAAATATCATGATTAATTGAATCAAATGCTTTTGAGTAATCGAGAAAAACGCCCAATGTTATCTTTTTTGCGTCGAATGCTTATAAAATGAGTTCTTTTTGATTCAGCAATGCTATTTCAGTAGATCGATGATTTTAATATCCGAATTGTGATTAAGAAATTAAAGCACGTTTATTAAGATGCGTTAGGAGTCGTTGATGTAGAAGTTTCTCGAGTGGTTTAGAAAAGACAGGAAGAATTGAAATGGGCCTATAGTTGCATACTACATATCACCGCCTTTATGTAGGACACTAACTTTTGTTACCTGCATTTTAAGTGGGAAAACCCCGGTTTCAAGAGCAAGGTTATATATATATATGTCAGATATGGTGCAATTCTATCAATAACATATTTCATAGATTTTATCGGCATGTTATCGGCGTCAATACTTTTACTATTTTTAAGATTCATGATGGTTGAGCAGACTTCTGTCTCATCAGTGGGGAACAAAAACATTGTATTCGTCTGCGACGATTTCATGAACTCTAGGGCTTCTTTTGTACAGGAGGATGACACACACGTTGACTTACCAACATTTACAAAGAAATCATTAAACGCGTTTGCCATGGTGACGTCTGTTATTTGAGCGCCACTTCCTGTTACCTCACGAGGTACGTTTTGGGGTGGCTTACGGCTTATTAAAGATGGAATTCTCTTCCACATAATATCAGGTTTCAATGTTTCTAATGGATCAAAAAGTATGTTGTAATAGTCACGCTTAGCAGTCCTTAGCTGACTCGTTAATTTATTTCTATAAGATTTAAAGATTACAAGTCGACTATTTTCTCTAGTTTTTAAAAAATTATTATATAAAAAATTCTTTTTTCGTGTCATCGATAATAGGATAGGCGTGATCCAAGGTCTACGCGACTTTTTAGTGGCTTTGAGGTTGACAAAAGGGAAATGTTTAGTATATATTGCACTAAATATATCTAGAAATAAATTATATGCGGAATTAACTGAATTTGTAGAAAAAATTTGTTGCCAAGATGTACGTTCAATGTCTTCTCAAAAACGGCGCAACTGGTCAGAGGAGATCGGCTGAACTCTAGCCACAGGAACGCAGTCGCTACGGTTTTTATTGGAATGTTTATTTTGCAAGCAAAAATAAATGGGAAGATGATCACTTATATCAGTTGAAAGAACCCCCGATGTCACCATCGAGTCTTCGTAGTTGGTTATGAACAGATCAAGCAAAGAGGATGACGTGTTAGTCATTCTTGTGGGGTGCTTTATAACATTTGATAATCCACATGACTCTATGAGGTTTGAAAAAGAATTTCTCGAGCTACAGTCAGCACTTATATCGATATTGAAATCACCACCCAAAATTGACTTGTAATTTTTATCATTCACAAAATTAAACAAGGTCTCCACAAAATTTAGAAACGGCATGACAGGCGAACTAGGGGGCCTATATACAACAGAGAGCAACGTATTTCCGAAACGCACAGTTACAACTTCATAGAAGTCAGTGATTTTACAGAATGATTCTAAGAGCTCACACCTTACTTCGTTCTTTGCCAACATAGCAATACAACCCACCTTGTCTGTTTTCTCTATTTAAGTTGAAATGGGAATATCCCGGGAGCAGAAAGTAGTCAGTACTCCAACGGTACCATGTCACGCGGACAAGTGAAGTCGGCGTGGTGGCGAACGATGTAGTTTGATGAGGGTCCGAATATTTCTTGAGTTTGCTTGAGTATTAATTATTGCGGTGAAGCCTGAGTAGATTGTTTCCTTTGATCACGTGTTCCAAAGCCCGTTTACTCCACAACGCACGGTCGCGTGCTTTCGATTTCTTGGATGGGGACGGAAAAACGTTTTGATTTCTTGTCTGTCTGGAATGACATTCAATATTACGACTACTTGGTAACTGATAAGTGGTTTCTTTATAGGAATGTAGAACAGTGGACCGAGGACGACAGGCGAAGTATTTCACTGGAGGGAACACCCATGTTGCATTCAAGTGAATGGGAAGGTTTGATAGCTGCTTTTCTTGAGTTTGGTTGTGTTCTATTAGCTTGGAAGATTGAGCCAACCACGCCAGTGAGTGCGTTGGCTATTCATCTTGGCTGCTTTTCGCCGAAAATACCTCTGGACCACGCCGAAGGAGTTGGGCTGATTTCGCAATTACTTGATTCCGAAAAGCCTGCTCGCTGCGTACGATTAATGAGGGAAATTGTCTGCTTTTAAAAGATGGGGGACGCGACTCGCAAAAGTTAGAAGTTGTCACAACATTATGATCTATCGCGCCTCCAGTATTTATATTATACCCCCGTAAAAGCCTGCAGCGATATGCGTCTACATTGCTCACGTTGTCTGGCCACAAAAAATACTAAATTTCTCCGTTCAGCATTCGAAGTCAAGTTCAATGCAGAGGGGTTTTGCGTGAACCTGCGATGAAGACTCTCTTCAGTTTGTTCGCATTCGTCTCTGTGCTGCCGGCTAGAACCATTTGGCTTAGTTTAAGTAGTATCTCTCTGTCTGTCAAATATAGTTTCATTGAGCAGTTCACCTAGCTAGTCAACTAAGCTCATATTTCAACCCGAAGAATATACTAATATCGCTTTAGTGGGACATAGTACGTAATATAATGCATGACCCTCATATTCGTCAAAATGACTTCTCCAATGCTACTAAAATCTGAATTGAAATACGAATATCCGTTAACATGCTGCTTGGCTCAAGAAGGGCTTTCTTAATTTTTTGGTGATTTTCCTGCAGCCTGTGTTGTTGACCAAGCAGACGACTGGAGCAGTTTCTTAAACGCAGATACGCAAAAAAGCTCGATCTCGCGGAAAGAAAAGTTGCCTGGTCGAGGCATGCGAGTTAGCTGAACATTACTCTCGGTGGAACAATTCTGTAGCCGTCGCCACTTTCCTTAGATGATAAAAACTGATTAGAGTTTATTACCGTCTCACCGGAGCCTTAGTTTCGGTTTTGAACGGAATCTCCGAAACAAAAGTTTGACATGAAAAGAACAAAAAGAACCGGTAAAACAAAACTGTTCTCTGCAAGTTTATGTACACCGGCTACACTTAACCGTCGCAGCGCATATACTTATAAGATAGGGCACTAAACAAAAGAAAACCTGCTAAATTGAAGGCGCCACCCGTCCAAGCAACCCGGATAAACCGTTGTTTTTTTTTTTTGGTGGCGCTTTTTATAGGCTGCTGGAGTCGCGAATAACTGATTTTCTGGAAATTCCAATGGGAAAATGGCGCCCATTTTAAGTAATTGGCCCTACAAAGCTCCAGGTATTCAAAAGATCTGTCGGTGGTTTTTTCCTATTAAAGAGTTCAGAAAATTTCGTATAACTTTTGAATAAAATAACGGTTTCTGGTTTCCCTTTGGTGTCTGATTCGGATCGCCAGCACTACGTTTGTTCAAAAAAAAAAAAAAAAAAAAAGAGCGTCCGGCAAGGCGTATTTATTTTCGCTTTAGAAAGGAGAAGGAAAGAACAAAAAAGAAAACTGTAGTTTTTTTATTTTTAGTTTGGGGGGGGGGGGGGCATTCCCTGTATAGCACATTTCATTTTATACCTATGTTATTGAATTTATATCTTCTAAAAGAGCTAGGTTTCAGCTTTTCGGCGAGGTCATATGTAAGAACTGGTAAGACCTCAAAGGAATAAAGTTCGGCCATTTTTTAAATTATGTTGAAATACTAGTTTTTTTTTAATTTATTAAGCATCATAATTTGTATCCTTGAAAGTGTTGAAGAGTTCTAGTGCTTTTTAGTGTGAGAATTGAATGCATAGGGAGTGTCAAACATGCCATTTCCGACTGGTGGGAGAAACGCTGGTTTTCGCTTTTGCCGCTCTAATAATCAATAACTTTCAAACAAAAAAAATCTGCCATGCTTGCCGTTTCAGTTAAAGAATTCCCCAATAACATGTATTTTTGGGCAAAAGAAAATAATAATAAAAAAAAAAATTCGACCCCACACATGTGTTTGAATTGAGATAAAAACAATTCGTCTCCTAAAATTGCCTTATAACAATAAAAAGCTTATAAATATTACCCTCTTAAAGTCTAATGCAGGATACCAGGGCACATGGGGTAATATAGGAATTATCGATGCGCCGAGAAGCCTAGCTCGAAAGTCTGGACTTTTCCAAGCGCGCCTTCTCCACGCACGCTAAGCCTAATGGTTTGTTTAAGGCTTCTCATCTTCATTTCGGTGCCTTGTAATTGAAAACTTGCGTACCCTAGGAGAGTGCGGTGCTCAGTTAATTTAATGCTGCCACGAGATCGTTCGTTGTTAGCATTTTTTAGATATTCCTGGGCGTACTGGTCGAACTGCGTGGTGAAGTCTTGACTCGCCTATCACAACCCAACATGTCGAGTTACCTAACTTACCCGAATAAAAGCCAACTTTGTCTGAACAATGTCGGCGTGTAAATGCGGCAGTTTGGGGGGAATGTCACGCTAAATCTCGGACAAATCGAATTTAGTTTTGCGCAGCACTGCATGCGAGAACCGCCTATTCTACGCCACCATGTATACCTCTCATGGTGAAGCAGCCAATGGTGTACTTGAACGACGGAGATCTCTTCCACAGAAAGGAGAAAACCTCATCACGATTCGAGGCCACGTATGCCACATTACGGATATTGCTGACTCCTGTACTCAGCCGGGACCCGGTGGCCGAGTGGGCTAGCGCACACCAGCTCGGAGCACGTGGAGCGAAAGCTCGCGCTGCAGAACCCAGGAATCTTGGTTTCAATCCCCACCCCTGCCTTTTTGTTGCCCCTGCCCGCTTCGACCTGGATGAGCTTCGTACCGGCGTGTGGTTGTGTACCATTACCGCGTGGTGCACCTTACAAGGCCCTAAGCTAGCGGTTGTACTGCACTGGCTAAATTGCTCATCCACTTGAGACACCAGGGGGCAAACTAACTTCCGGCTGTATAAACATACACGCACTGATTTTGTTTTCGCAGGAAAGGGGTTCATTAGACCGTTTTGCTGAGCGTCAAAGAGAGAGAAAGAGAGAGAAAAAAACTTTATTCAAGCCGCCCATGTCCGGTCAGTGCCGAACGTGAGATTTAAGTCGCAGCAGCGGGCTTTCTGTTACCTCACAGAGATGTCCAACCGCTAAAATAGGTAGTAACGAATTAATTCCAAGAAAACGTTTTCGACATAACACTGCTGTCTGTAGGACTCAATAACCTGTCTCGCCACCACAATAGTAAGGTAAAGCAAAGTGAAGGTCAGTTATGGCTGTGCCCATTTATAAGCGCAGATATGCGAAGAACAAAATCAGCACCACCCTAGAAATTTTTTTAACAAGTAGTTCTTTCATTTTTATCACAACTCAACAGGTGGCACAAGCGGAAATAAAAACTAATAAAAGATCCTGCCATTATATTTTTTGTTGCCGTTACACAAAACTGAGCAACATTTACTGAAATCAGAAGCTGCTACTTTGTATAGGCGATAATAATCATTCCTCTTTGCACTAATATAATCTATGACCTGGTGAAAATGCATTAAATGTACCTTTTTTGTCCTAAGATGAAATTTTTTATGCATATTAAAACAGTTGCACAAAAAATATAAATGCGAAATTTGAAAAAGGGACAGGTTATGCAAACCAGCATATATTGAAGTTTGCCAGCCAGAAGTTCGGATACCTTGTGACGACACGTAACGGCAGTGGATTTCTACTACGAAACAACGATTTCCTATTTTTGTTCGTTTCTTCTATTTTCATACTAGCATTACAAAATGCTTCGAGAACTACACTTTATGAACGTCAGCACACCTTTCGAAACTATTTTCATCAATAACTGATGCAAGATTCCAACCCAGAAACCGAACAGTTGTCATAGAAATTGGTCATGAATTTCCTTCCGCGAAGCCTATTTTGCAGAAGATATAAGTAAAACAAAGATGAAAATAAAAAAGGGCCACGATATGCAAAGCAAAAACTCTTAATCTACACATCGTAAAAATTTTGAAACGAATCGGTCGAACCCTAAACTCTGCACGCCCATTTCTACTACCGAACCATGTAAGCCGAAAATGCCACTTTCACATGTTCCCACCGAGCTGATTCTTTATTTACTCGTACTTAGTTGGATAATAAGATGAAGACAATTTCCTCTTCTATAGGTTGTATTCACTTGCAGCCATAGCTGTGTGTGCGACTGCTGTTAGTTGATAATAAGATGAAGACAATCTCCTCCTCTATTCACCACATTCGGTGGGAGTTGATACCACGAGGGCGCCACAGTATTTGGTGCCCCAGTAGACTTCCGGTAGTGTATTTATTTATTCTTCAGCAACGCACAGCAGTCGGGTAAGAAGAGTTTCCTTCAGAGAAGTTTCTGTAGTATGTTTGTAAGAACATTAGTGCATTGTACAAAGTAGTGCAAATAACAAAAGGCGGAGAGACAAATGCAAAAGAAGAGGAAAACCGGAAGCGCGCAGGGGTCCGCCGATAGGGGGTGGTAGTGAGCTTGTTTGCAAACAAACATCGGTGAATAGGTTGTACCACTTGCGGCCATAGCTGTGTGCGCGACTGCTGTTAGTTGATAATAAGATGAAGACAATCTCCTCTTCTATAGGTTGTATTCCCTTGCGGCCATAGCTGTGTGCGCAACTACTGAACGCTTGCTTACCGCGAGCTTCCAGAGTTCTTTTGCAACGTGCATTCCGCCCCATCATGATTGCCTGTTTTAGCTGCCTATTAATGCGAGCTCGTTCTCGGCATGCGCTCTAAACATCACGCTCAAATAGGGCGCCCAGTGAATACCCCGTAAGCCCTATTCGGTGGTATATGTTAAATATTTTTACGGAGGGACCAAGCGTTATAATAGCGAATCAAACACTGCGGTTAAACGTCAAGAAGAAAATTGATCCAGCTACAAAAAAAAAAAAAAAAAAAAGAAAAATCTTTTTGCTTGCTTGGAAACAATGACGAAACACCGGGTCCGAGACTCCGTCGCGCAAAAGTAGCGCAAGGGGCATGAATGCACGAGGCACGTGCAACGTGCAGCCCTTATGGCGGCACAGCGCAGCACTGAGCTGGATTTCCGACGCCATGAATTTCCCAGAAGTGGCACGCAGCACGTGCCTCGAGCATGTCTACAACAATGAATGGCGCCACTTTTCCCAGGATAGAGGGGCTTTACGTCGCGCGGCTTTGCGTTGTGAAAAAAAAGAGAAACCGTGACTTAATACCCCCTCCCCCTTTTCCTCTCCTTTTAAAAATAAAAATAAAATAATGGAAGCTTCTTTCCTAATGCGCGCAGTCTTGTCACCGTTCACGCTAGACTAACAGAGAGCCTCGATTGAGCACACTCGCGGCAGGCCTGCCAGGTCAACAAGACCCGCAGAGAAAGCGGTGCACACTGTGGGTTAGCCATCGCAGCAATGACAATAGGGAGTTTTAGGGAACGGTTTTCGCACATCCGATACGATACGATGGGCCCTCTGGTACGAACTGCGCACATGGAAATCCTCTGCGGTGGAGGACGCGCAGTTCGAACCGGAGGGTTCCTCAACGGCACTCCGGTCGCCCCTCAACGGCCTCGGGTGCGACTCGAACTCAAAATTTTGTATATATTATTTTTCTCTTTTAAATTTAGGCGTAACTCGTTTTATATGGGCTACATAACCAGTGTGACGACCAGATTGTAACGTCGATGGAGCTCCTAATGTCACGGCTTTGTGTGCTATTTTAACGCCTAAGTAATCTAAGGAGTTGGTAAAATGCCAGGATGTCACAAATACTGTCAAGGTCACTCTTTTGTCATGTCAAAATATGTTGAATGTCGCGCCTACATCGGCCGTAGTTAGGCCGTAGGTACGCCATTAGCCGCTACCGGACAGAGTGCGGGGATCTTTTCTAGAAGTTTCAAACAATACGGAATTATCGATGTTGCCGTTTTCAGAGGTCATTTAGCGCACTTGATCGCCAATCCCCCTAGTGGAAATCAATATTTACGAGGTTTTTCTGGGGAAGCGAATGACCCAAAATCTTGGGGATGTAGAGCATGCCCTTTGCGTACAGTAGAGCCACTAAATACCGTAAGCGGCTTAATTTTCGCTAAGACCTAATTTTCGCGACTTTCGTGACTTGCAAATACCGCGAAAAATCGGTCCCGCGGATGTGTTTCCCGATAGTCGTGAGTCCACACACAGCTAAGGTGGCTTAAGTGTCGTTACAAAGTGGCTTAAAATCATTATTTCTGGTAATCTGAAGCTTCATCTGAAATCGCCGGAAACGTTTTTGGGCCCTCCAGAGTTATTAACAGATCGCGACAGAGCAAAGCGATATGTTGCGAGCTTCCAACGTATCTAAACTTGTAGCAAGTCGCAAACGGATGCTATAAATAAATCAATAAATCGCTAAGAAACCCCCGTAAAGTACATCCTCAAGAAACCAAAACACTTTTCTGTTTTGCTTCTCTCCGAGGAAGCAGCGGTAAATATAGACCGTCCGAAAAGCTCCGAACGTCGACGGCGAGTACTCCGCAAAGATCCGCGCGGCGGCAGCCCTTGTGCAAGGCCGCTGCCCGTAAACAGGCGCGTGCCAGTTGCCAGGTCAGGAACACAAGGTCCCGCTTTGCGTCTTGGCAACCGGACCGGTCACTGGCGACCGATATAGTCCGGCCCCTTCGATCAATGCACGCGGGCGCTCGGCACACTGCACGTCCCCACCGCCGAGGGTGGACCCTCGGCGTGCCAAGGACCACTGCGCCCACCGACTCCGCTGAGAATCGCCGCTAAGCCGCCACAAAAGGCCTTCCGAGCCGGGCACCGTTTGTGGATACTTCGGGCCCTGGTCCGCGAATCCGTCGGCCCGTTCTTTGGGTAGGCCCGTTTGGTTCTTTTCTATTTTTTTCCCGGGTAGCTAATGCTCCGCATGACTGATTGCTCGGGTGCAAGTTCTTTCGCTATGATCCGCCTCGTTGGGCCTGTACGGGTGTCCAGATGACGAGGACAATGACCAAATATTTAATTTAGAAAACAAAAAGTTTAGAACGTTGGGGGAAAATGTGACTAGGCTTTGTTTCACTCCAATTAGAGGGGTAAAGTGACTATACTCATATTACACCTCAAGACCAAAGTAAAAAAAAAAAAGAAAAAAAGTCCGGCTCCTCATAGAGCATGAAATTCACTCCTCTAGGTGGTGAATGAAGCTATATATGGGAGAATTTTAGATTAACATACCATTATTTTACCAAGACTTACACGCTCCAAACGCCCAAAACAAAAAAAACAAAAAAACATCGTTTTCTTTTCCGACAATGAAATCCTGTAAGAGCCACTTCGTGCTGCGCATGAATCATGTGCAAAACTTCAATATTTCTTTGGCATGTCAATGGGTACAGTAAACGTGTACATGAACACACGTACAATAGGTCGCGGCGTGTTCACTCCGCTTTATTAATTTGGCTGGTTAAAGCAGACGGACAAGAAGATGACGAATGCCGCGACGTTGCACCTTTGACGGTCTTTGATTGACTCCCCACTGGCGCATAGCATCGTCTGTGCTTGCCAGACTGGGCCCCATTCCTCTGCCCAGTTCAGCAGCGGAGTTCAAAGACAAGAAGATCTAATATTCACTACCACTGCATAACGTAAATATTAGCACACATTAAAATTTTCCTTAACAGTTACACAAGTAACAAATACATAAATTAATAAAAAAGGATGCCGAAACCTTTACTGTCGCTACGCCGATTCTCGGCGACATTCGTAAGCATTTAGCGCGGGGGCTCCGACTAGGCGAAGGATAGGAATTCCAACCTCGCAACGGTCCGCATACTGTTCTGTTCGGAGAGCCAGTCTGTTCTTCGGGCGTCGGCTGTTTCGGAGGCAGCCACCAGAGCCAATCCTTTCTCCGGGGCGTCGGCGGTTTCGCGCAAACCGCGCAGTCGCTGCGCCTCTCTTTTACGCTATCGGGTACGTTGTGCATACTGGGGAAACGAAACCATATGTGCCCCCGGTGCCATCGAAGAGGGGCGCGCGTCAACAGCGTTGCATAATACGAAGCGTGCTAGATGACTCTTTCCCTCTTACGTAAGAGAGAAAATGGACGCGAGCAATTTAACGAAGTGAAAGAGCACGGCGGGCACCGCGCCGCTACCTCACGATACCTGTCCAGTTCAAATCAGGACCGTCCAAATCAAAAACGCCAGCGAGCACCGGGGCAATAAATGCTAACGCATTTAATAAATAAGTTTGTTCGTCGTGCCCCCGAACAGCTGGCATGTCTTAGGTGGGATGCACGCGTGCCTTTGGCGATGCACTAAAACATGACAAGAGACCATTTATTCGTATACCCACCCCCTCGTATTCCCCAAAAGTTCTAGTGAAGTAGCCCACGTCAAAGTTGTCTAACCTGTCACGCATAACAAAAGTCGCATTGCACAATAACAGTTTTCAAACGCCAGAGTAAGTTCGGTATTTCGGGTTTACTTAAAGCTAAAATCGAAATTTTTTATACAGTTTTAAATTTGCTTATATTTTGTCGGAGCTGTTAATCATCCACAATATTTCTGGGTTGATGTTCAGTGGCTCTGTTATTGAATTAGGTATCATTTGTATGGCCATAGTTTCTGCGATTCCTTAACTAGAGGTAACGCAGAATGTGTGTCAATATTCTCTCGCTATATTAACCTCTACATGACCTAGTACGCTTTTGAGTAGGAGCGTGCTCTACTCTTTCCTTTTGCGTTACGTATTGTATCCGATTGTTCACCTTCTCAAGTTTGCCTGTAGACTATGTGTAGAAATGTTCACCCTTGTATTTACCACCACACAGGTGGCTGGCAGTATACTTTCTGAGTAATAAATAAATGACACAATCGGGGCTGCTTGTACGAGTGAACAGCCATTCGCATCTCATTTTAGGACAAAAGATTAATTCCCGCGTGTTTGCAGTTATTTTTTCGTGCTAAAATCAAGTCTACATCGATTTATGACCATGTCGCTTTGCAAGATATTTTTTTTTTTAATAAAGAAAGTTTAAAGAAAACACTAAGATCGCATTGAAGGACTAAACATGCATTGGGCGAGGGAGCGCATTCAAGCGCAAGAATGGACCAGCCAATCAAGAGGCAAAAAAAAAAAAAAAAACATCCAGACAACGTGCGAAGACTAGGTAGCCGAGCGCGCTGTCATTGGTTGAGATAGAGGAGAAACAAAAGCACGTGGGCTCATATGGAAAGGGGGGGGGGGGGTGGTTCTCATTTGAACCCGTTCGCATTTCTACCTTCTCGTTTTTACCTTCTCATTTCAACCCAGCGCAAAACAACTTTCGCGTTTCTCCCTTTCTCATTTAAACCGTTCTCAAAACAAACTTTCGGGTTTTGTCCCTTCTCAAAACGACTTTTCTCATTTTAACCTTTCTCATTTCAAATTTTCTCAAAACATACTTTCTGGTTTTGACCATTGTCAGAAAGACTTTTCTCATTTTAACCTCTCTCATTTCGAACCCAAATTAGTCCAACATCATGATCTCGCAATCTTTCTGCGGTATTTATGGCGAATTCGGGTAATTAATTGCCTTCGAGCCCTTGCCTGTGGCACCGGCGACCAAAAACGCGCCGGCGGCGCATCACGTGACCCTCTCCACCCGAATGCAAGGCACAATGAACTGGCGTTTTTATTTGACTGGGTCGCGAGTGAGCTCTGTTAACTTCTTCGATCATTCTATGCTACCATGAGCACGCTGCATACGCCAACAACATAGATGACGACTCTTTGAGATGTGTGTCAACAGAAGCGGCTTCACAAAACTTTTCAAAATATTGGCATTACCACAGTCCGTACAGCTGACAGAATATTAAAATATAAAATCAATGAAAGGGCAGATGTATAAATCAGTGTGGTGCTGCCCGCACGCGCGTCAAATTTCAATAAACTTCGTTTGGATTTTCGATTAACTGTTGCCACGGAGGCTTGCCAGCGTCGCTTTCCATATTCTGTTTACTGTTAGTAGAGAGTTTTAGTAGATCGTTCCCATGACTCCAATAATGATACCCGATACTCCGCCACCGCCTCCCTTGCGCATGCATAGTATCGTTATCGGGGGTATCGGAACGATCTACTAAAACTCTCTAGTACCTTTTTTAAAATCCTCAGTCTTCTCATTGCACCCACCTTCCTTGAAATTGTAATGCGTGTTCTAGTTTCAAACTGCATCACTATGCATACTTTTTTTTCAGCGGTGTAATAACTTGTCATTACAGAGTCGTAAAATAAAGTGATATATGATACAGCCCGTGTCTCAGAGCAAACATACCTTGCTCAGGCTGGATAAATTCTTCCAAAAATGTTGACTTTCTTTGAAACATAAATTATCTTTCTCTTCGTTGTTTTTGCTATCTTGTCTCAGAGCACAAAAGGGTGCCTGTCTCGATGGCTTCGTTTGCCACTCGAACCCGCTATTTGCCGCCTCAGCGAGCATTGTTTCGTTTGGTTCCCTATCCCGATTCTGATGTGACGATACCGGATACAGTCTGGCAGACAAGCTGCCCGACCTCTTGGAGCTCGGGAAACCTTCTGCTGGTAAATTGCCGGTACACGCCTGAGAAGCGCAACCTGAAAAGCTTGCACCCGCCAGCCTTTGACCACGCGAACGCCCTTGCCGAAGGTGTGGGAAAACTTTTTTTCAGGGAAAATGACCACCCGAATTGGCCATTTCAAGCAATAACACACGACTAGCACAATGATCCATCGCTACCACACGACGACATCTTAACGACATACAGCGACAGAAGAGAAATGAAGTACCGAATCTGCGCTAGCACTTTTGAAACCACGTCACCATGTGACCACGTAGCTACGTCAACAGACTCGGGGTGGCACGCAGGCATAAGGAAAATTGTTTCACGTGCTATGCAAGAGATGGTGCCGCTTCGCTTCATCTTCAACCTTCATCCTCAACTGTTTTTCCTTCTTTCTATACCTCACTACGGTGTTCAAATGACACGGGTTCAAATGAGAAAGGGTCGAAACGCGAAAGGTTAAAACGCGAAGGGCGTTTTGCGAATGGGTTCAGACGAGAAGGGTTCAAATAAGAATGGGTTGTTTCGAGATACACCCGGATTGGGGGGGGGGGGGGGGGGGGGGAACTGACGGGGTACGCAAAGAGCACACGCGCTTGCACGCCGTACAGATTTCAAACTAACAAAACCTCGGCCAACTTCTTGCGCAACATCATTGTTGCAGTGTAACGGTAGACAAATAAGAGAAATGTCTCAGGCAGTGTCTACAGACTTATTTTTGTGTGATGTATCAGCATTGTGACCGCAGGTTTAAAGGGGCCCCGCAATCATAATTAAGCGTCTACCTTTTTTGCGGTTTTCGCGCCCCTTATAGTTCTGGCGAGCCAGCGGGCGCGGAGAAAGTAACTAAATATCAGTGCGTCATATTTTAACCGGACGATGCGGAAACCTCCTCCACCGACGAGGTCGACCCGTGGTACTGAAAGCGCGCAAAATGTGACGTCTTTCCATGGGTCCTGGGCTTACTACTCATCAGAGCCACTAAAAGCTTCTTTTTAGTCGAAATACAAAATATAAGTGGCGCGAACTGTTTCAATTATTTATAAAAGTAGTTTTTGTTCAGTATTTTAGATCAGAAAAGAAACAAATGCAGTTTAGAAGGTACAGAAACAAGAAATGACCCGTCGACATACCCGCCACCAAGCGGTGGAAAAGACGGCGCAAACTAGAAAGGAGTAGTGGGATTTGGCGCCGACATGGAAAGGTCCCGGATGTACGCGGCGGCGCTGCGGCCGTACCGACAGGAGGATCCGACCGGCTCCGAGCGTTCCGAAGGCCTTCGGTACCTTCGACGGGAAGCTTTCTATTGCGAGTTGGCCGTTTCGCGGTGTGGCAGCGCGAAGTGGCTCCCATTCTGAACTGATCTTTACCCCCATGTTTGCTGTCGTTTGTGGCCAAGGAAGTGTCATGCCGAATTAGTGTTGAATCGCGCAGCAAATGCAATGAGAGCAGCTCTGGTTGCCCGCTGCGTACAGCATATATCCAGAAAATGCTTTAGTTTCGCCCTCTCGCGCCGTCGACACGGAGTGCGGCAGCCGTGAGTGCTCGCAATGAGCCCACTACCTCTCCTCTAGTTCACGGCCACTCAAGCAACCAAGGATGTCGTGAGGGAGGTTATTTTTTGTTTGTTTTTGTAATTTTAATTTGCCCATAACTTTTAAAATAAAGCGAATTTCGAGAAAAGAAAAGTTTCACTGAGTTACTACGTTCAGTGCGCTCTGGTTCGGTGCAAATTAAAAACCAGTAAAAAAGTCCTTGCAGGGCCCCTTTAAAGGGGCCCTGCAATGACTTTTTTACTAATATTTAATTCGCACCGAACCTTAGTGCACTGAACGTAGTAACTTAGTGAAACTTTTCTTTTCTCGAAATTCCCTTTATTTTAAAAGTTATAGGCAAATTACAATTACAAAAACAAGCAAAAAATAACCTCCCTCATGACGTCCTTGGTAGCTTGAGAGTGGCCGTGAACTGGAGGAGAAGTAGTGAGCTCATCGTGTTCTGGATAGGCTGTATGCAGCGGGCAGCCAGAGCGGCACTCACTGCATTTGCTGCGGGATTAAATACTAATTCGGCATGACACTTCATTGGCCACAAACGACAGCAAACACGGGGTAAAGATCAGTTCAGAACGGGAGCCACTTCGCGCTGCAATACAGCCAAAGGGCTAAATCGCCAGCCAAGCCCGCGCCGAGAGCCTTGGGAACGCTCGGAACCGGTCGGATCCTCGAGCCGGCATACGACCGCAGCGCCGCCGCGTACATCCGGGACCTTTCCGTGTGGGCGCCTGATCCCACTATTCCTTTCTAGTATGCGCCGCTTTTTCCACCGCTTGGTGGCGGGTATGTCGACGGGTCATTTCTTGTTTCCATACTTTATGAACTGCATTCGTATCTTTTTTGATCTAAAATACTGAACAAAAGCTACTTTTATAAATAATTGAAACGGTTCGCGCCACTTAAATTTTGTATTTCGACTAAAAAGAAGCTTTTAGCGGCTCTGACCAGTAGTAAGCCCAGGACCAAAGACGTCACATTTTGCGCGCTTTCGGTACCGCGGGTCGCCCTCGTCGGTGGAGGAGGTTTCCGCGTCGTCCGGTTAAAATATGACGCACTGAGTTACTCTCTCCGTGCCCGCTGGCTTGCCCGAACCCCAAAAGACGTGGAAACTGCAAAAAAGGTGGACGCTTAAATATGATTGCAGGGCCCCTTTAAGGGGAGTAAGTCGTTGGTAGGGCATGTCCGGTCTCGAGGTCTCTAACGAAGCCTTCTGCCATCTCTGCCAGGCAACATGCTGTCGTGGATGATCACCCGAAAGCGCGAGCTGGAGTGCCAGGACCAGGCGCTCCGGCGCGAGCAGGAGGCCAACGCCCTGGAGTACGAGATGAAGCGGCGCGCCCTGCAGCGGGACCTGCAGGACCGGCGCCGCCTGGCCGCCACCCGGGGCACCGTCCTCTGCATCGTGGGCTGCGGCCTGGCCCTGGCGGCGCTGGGTGTGGCGCTCACCTGCGTGGGGCTGCTGCTGCGGGGCGGCCCCTTCAAGGCCCCCTGCACCGTGGCGGGCCCCACCTGCGTCGTCATGGGCTTCCTGGTGCTTCTGCTGTCCGTCGAGACCATCATCAAGTGCCGCCGGGCGCAGAGGTTCCAGCAGTCCGACTCCAAGGAGACGCTCCTGGAGAGGGCACTCCACAAGGCGCACAAGGCCACCAAGGACACGAACGTGGACGACGCCACGGCCGTCACGGCAGCCACGTCCAACTCCATTGTGCTCAATCCGCAGAGGCTCGCCGAGCCTCTCGAGATGGAAGAGACGAAACTGGATACCTAGTGACGGTGGTTTGGACGACGTCGCGTGTGGTGTTTTCGTTAAGCTCACGTGTTCGCTGTGTCGTTGTCAACGCGTTGTGCCTCAGGGACTTCTAGCTCCGCGAGTGTGTGTGCGTGTGTGTGCGTGTGTGGGTGCGTGGAGTCTACCAGCTGCAGAAAACGAAGCGTTTTCATTCTTGTGATGTGCCTTCGATCTCCGTGTGCATTTGGGCGTTCCGGATTGGCTGCCTCTACACATTGCGGGCCGCGCCTTGCGAGTCAAGTCCGTGTCGCCACCGTTTGTTGTCTTTGTCTCCGCCGTTCGAAGAGGGTTTTCATGTTTCTACGACCTGACCTCGCCTCACAAAATCGATGACTAAAAGACTGCGGTGAAGAGGTCCGCGCTAAAAAAAAAACGTCTTGAAGGAAACCCTGTTTTGCTGTCTTGTGACACCGTCCAACGAAGCATCTGCACTAATGGACGCTTACACCCGCCAGTACAGGATGTCCAATTCTTGTGAGTGTATAGGCCGAAATCACGGGGCTTTTTGCTTGTGTACAGACACACTTTTGTTGTGTTGTTAAAAAGCACCACCAAAGTTTCTCGACATCTGGAGGAGCTGGGCGTAGGGCTTCTGAGGACGCTACTGAGTGTGGGGAACCGCAAATACCGTGTGGAAATCGTCTCGTGATTATGTTCTTCTTCCCACCGCAGTTTTGAAAAGAACTGGCCAGAATCCTCAGTTGGTTCTTACAATTGACTCCGTAAGTGTGACGCCTTGGGTCCAAAAAAACCGTTGCTAGGGTCGTTGTTATATACAAAAACATGTGGCTAGATTTCGCTATGAAAACCCGACCGTTCAAAAATCAGGAGTACGATTTAGACTTCTAAAAATCACAGATATAGAAAGCTTAAATGTCATATATGTTTCAACAGAAGTGTGCCAGTAATCGCTTGTTTCTGAAATATTTACGACTGCAACTTCCGGTCCTCAAGACGCCTGAAGCAGACGACGAATGCAAGATGTATGCCGTCTGCCCACACGCCGGCAGGCCAAGCCGGCGCCGTCGTTTGAATCGTGTGAATAAAAACGATATTCCGATATTGAATTTGTTCTAAATATAATAATTTTCAGTAACTTAAAAGAATTCATAGTGGGGGGGCGATGCAAAATATGGTTTCGCGAAAATCCGGGCGTCGATCGAGATCATCGTCTGCTAAAAGATAGCATTGGACCCGTCAGAAAAGCACTCCAGGCGATCGGTCAAGATCCAAATTTTGTTTGTGAACTCGCGCTATGTGAGGGTGAGTCGTACCTGGTTGTAAACATCGCTGCAATGGTTACTGAAAAATTGCGATAGACTTGGAATTTTTTAATTACCTGACAACCTCACTAATAATAATAATAAACGAATTACCTTGACGGCGCACAACTTGTTACTTATACTGGCCTGCAGTACGTCGGTAATGCACTTCAGGTCGTCGTCGTAAATGATCTGCATGACGTGGTTTGATTCTACGGCATTTTCTCCCCTCTAAACTAAGTTGGGTTCTTTGCAGAAAAAAAAAAAAAAAACACATTGCGGAGGCCTCTACGGCCCCGGCAATGCGCTTGTTTTTGTCGCTTGTTTACGGACGCAATTCAATGAAGACGCCCGCTGCAACAGAGGCCAGCAAGTCTATCGTTTCGTCTGCTACGAAAGCAAAGCGAAGTGTAATACTTCAGAAATGGCTTTCATTGTTGTAATATGACACTGAGACGACAAGAACATCTTTATAATTAGATATCAAGAAGTTAGGTTGCTTACAAAAAATTATTTACTTGTAAGCAAAAATCTAGCCTCATGTGGAGTCTCCATGCATTAGTCCATAACAACGTCCCTAGCAACGGTTTGTTTGGACCCAGACGCCATGTTGTGACGTCATCACTTATGGGGTCAATTTGTGGGATTTGTCCGAATCGAATGATCTACAGTTCATTTCATACTTATAACCCTATTAGACAGGCACCCTTAACTGCAGTTAACTCACCTCTAAGTGCTGTTTCGCGGCACCGCAGTTACCCTACTACACTGTCGGAGAGCTATTTCAGAAGTGAAGAGCGCGTGTGCACTGCTTTGATGGGTGCTGAAGATGCTCCAACGCACGTGCGCCCGTAGCCTTGACTGCATAGCCACAAAATGTTGTCCGCAAGTATTGTGTGCTAACTGTGGCTTGTCGCAACTGCAGTTAAGTGTGCCCGTGTAACAAGGCTATCAGTGTACAACGTTGTCAAAGCTGCTGGCGCGAGCATGGAGTTTGATCTCGAAGGTCACTTGCACGCGTGCTTGCTTAAACAAAACCATAGATAAATCCACGCGCTCACACCATTAGCTTTGACAGCGTCGCATGTATACTAAGTATGAAAAGCAGCATTGTTGGCGCAGCCCAGAAACTATACTTCGTCTCACCTTAGCATAGAAAATTGTTAGACGCGCATGCAAAAGCGCGAGCTAATTCCTTTGGAAGAAGCCTCGGCGGCTGCGCGAGTGCTCGAGCAGCGAGTGCATCAGTCATGGCAGTCAAGGCTAGCCGCTCGCACTTGCACAGCCTTCGCAGCTAGTCCATAAAGGTGAGACGAAGTGTAGCGCATTCCAGTAGAAGGAGTAGGCGCGGACACTGACTTCTTTCTTGCTGATTCGTGTGCTAGCTGTATTTTTCGTGTTAGTCACGTCGGCTTCATGTCCTAATTCGAAGATGAACAACAAAATCTTGTCCGGCGAACTCTAAAAAAATATTCAAGTTCTGACAGAACGAGCGAACAGCCAACAAACTTCGTTTTAAACGAAAAGTTAATTTGGCAGAATACCGATGATCTGCTCCTGCCAGGACGCACGCTCCGGTTGCTGGGTATTTCTGCGTGTAATTCACGAATATCGTTCTCAAAGAGCGAACAAATCGTTGAGAGCACAGGAAGCAGCTAGTACCTGGACGTCGTAATTTCGAGTCTGTGCAGCCCATTCCTGCGCTTAAATGGTCTGGCTTGGTTTGGATTTCTACGAGGTGCGAAAAATGCATCCGCGCTTTGAAGCGACAAAAGCCACGGTTACGCTGATTATGTACGATACAAAAAAAGTTTGCAGCCACTATACGACCGTCCAGCCAGAGGGGGCATACAGAAACTATCTGTAGACATTTTCGAAGCACACATTTGTATGACGCGAACATGCTTCGAATTGAAGCGAATACGCAGGTTACGCCATCAAGTTTCCAGGAAGCATCATGTATTTTGTTTGAAGTCTGACCAGTTGGACCGAGGCCTTCAAGTCGGGGTGACACTGCATATACATCATAAACAAGACAGCCTGCATACAGAATCGAACGCGAATCACCGAAAGATTCGCACTTCGAGTGCCGCATGGGAATGAGTTCAAGAAGAACACTTAGCCGGGGTCACAGTGCTCAAACATCACGCAGAAGACAGTCTGCAAACACGAGTCACCCCAATATCTGCTGGCTCGAATGCCGCGTGCCAAGTTTCTCTCCTTGAAATCCTTGCCGTGCGGCATTCGAAGCACGGATCTTGCGGTGACTCCTGTTCGAATCTGTATGCAGACTGTCCCGTGCATGATGAGTAAGCAGTGTTACCCCGGCTTAAGGGTTGTCCCCGCAGAGAAGCGTGTCTCCGCTTTTTTTGCATGCGCACATCTTTGGTTGGAAAAATCTGATGTCTGTCAGCCACTTCCGGCTGTTTTAAAGCGATTATAAAATATACCGCCAGACTGCCGAAGTTGCGTGGCATGCGTCATAAGCCGCCTTTGTTACAGGACGTCCGGAAGTGGCTGAAAGACCTAACTTTAACCAATTCAAAAAGCTCTTGCCTGTAAAAAAAGAAAAAGAAAAAAGGAGTCGCGAGTTATTATATAAGAACTCTTGAGGAGCTAAAGTTGTGAGGAGTTACTTTATGAGGACTGGCCCCTTGTTGACACCTCGCGTATTTTGAGTGAACTACTCCCAGGGACCGTTGACTGTTGACTGCAATGAAAAATACATACGTCATCAAACTTATTGCGTGTCTTGGTGTTCGAACCGCACTATCGCAAATACAATTAGCGTGAAGTGTTCTCTTAAATAGAAAGCGTCATGCTTAGTACAAAACGAAGACAGATGCTACGAACGCCTAATTGTTCTCATTTATTTTCCACCGCAGCGAATTCATTGGCTTGCGTGAGGGCTGACGTTACATTGTGACAAATAGGGTCGCTACTTGCGATTTTGGTACAACCGTCATCACGTCCCGAATTGGCTAGAAATTTCGGACGGGTCGGAATGGCTAAAGTATGGGATTCATCACCTGCTTTTTTGTCAACTAATATAACGGGAGAAAAAGGTGCTTCCTTAGCAAGCTTTGTAATTGGGCCGATCGGTCCATAATAAAAATAAATAAAACTCCGGAAAAAAAAAGAAAAAAAAGACGCCACAACAAGTGGAAAAACGCAAACGCACCTGAAAATTTTCTTAGTCTATCTGTGTTGATTTCTCTACCAACTGGACACGCTAAACGTGTTTGCAAGATTCTACGCTCAAAACACTGGAGACAAGTGAAGACTGGTTTACACACTTGCGACCTGCTAACGACCGAGCTCCTTAAAACCGCTTAGGATCTCTTATGACGAGAAAAGATACTGTCACCGCCTATCGGGTATCCGTGGAACACTTGGCGAAAAATAAGGCCTTTCCGTATTTTTCCTATTTTTTCGCGCATCATTCTTTCACTATTGGCTAAAAAAGCTTTTGTAAATTCCATAAACGACCATTTCTCATCAATAGTACGCACATTTTATCTCTCGCAAATACTGCAAACACTTCCAGGGCTACCTCACAGACAACACCATGCGTGCCTGTGAGTTCTCTCGTTCCAAGAGAGCATAAGAACTGGGTCGTAAGCAAATGCAAGTGTCTAATCCAGCCTTAAGACTTCTTCGAGATTACCTCAAAATTTGGTCAGCGCTGTGCTTGTATGCGTCTTCTAATAGTCCCCAAGTCCTTTTTTTTCCTCCTTGTTTTAAAGATCCTCGAGGTTCTTTGTTGAGCGGCAGTAGTCACATTTCGCAACTCCAGCGGTGGCGACGCCATCTAAGTTAAAAGACGCAACGCGAAGAACCGGGGATACAAACCCCAGCCGTCCGAGTGTACCTAAAAACTTGCGCGGCCAAGTGGACGATACGTGAAACAGTGTCAAGGTGATTCGATGCAGCCGGTTGGAGCTTTGTGAATAGCCGACGCAGAGTGCTAATATCCGCGCGTCGACGAACGCGCGCTCGGACAATACCTCCTAGAAGACAATGTCTGTGCGTGACATAATCGTTAGTCGATGTCGGAGCCGGCCGAAGCGGCAAACCTCGTTGAACCTTGACGAGAGACACGGAAAATCGGCAGACGCGTCTGTCTGGGCGTCGTCTAGTTCGAGCGCTGTGCTCTTTGCGAGTCGCTGCATGATGCGCTGACGATGACGTTGACGCAAGACACGCCGTTTCTTGAAGGTGGCGTTTGTTTAGTGCAAGCGACGAACGTCAACACACAACCGAACGAAAGCAATCTGGTTTGACCTCTCGAAATTGTTAGAGATGCATAGGACTCCGTGTTTTTGGACTTAATTTTTCGTGAAATTCGGAGGGTGCTTTTCAAAGTTTATTTTTTTAGTCCCCAATTCTCTGAAATTCGGAGATTACTTTTGCAGTGTTTCCTATTAAAAAATAATAAATAACCGATGCAAACGTATGCCAGATAAAAAATAAAATGCGTTCGTATGGATTAAGATTTCCTTAGTTGAAATTGCGTTGGTGTCATTGGCAATACTAGTTTGTCTCACGACAAAAGTCGCAC